CAGGTTATTTACTAATAGTTTATTATAATTTTGACAGAATTTAGACAGTCACTAAGGGATTTTGGCAAGCAACCTTAAATAGAACACATATTAAATCTTAATAAAATGATTTATATTAAGCATGTATTATGACATAAATCTAATTTATAATAAAGAATTAATTAAATTATCTTAATAAAAACCAATTAGATTTCTAATAATCATTATTCTTTATTAAATATTATCATCATATGAGAGAAATATTATTATTATAAATAAATATTGAGCTCCTCATGATAATAACACTATACTCACCTAACTGGTTTTTTGCATAAATGTATCAACAAATAGCTAAATATTATATAATATGTCACAACAATGACAATACTAATATTGTATCACTTAATCAATTCTTGAGTCATCATAAAATTATCACATATATGTTAAGAAAAATAGATGTTGATTATACTTTCAGAGTACATGAAGATAAGAATGATACTGACTGTTAATATTTATGACAATTGGTATGTAGACATAAAATAGATCATGCTTCATCAGTTGAACATTATGATATAATAAATGATAAATCAAATATATATCTTGACACTAACTCTGCTATTCCAGTATCTAGACCAATCACACCTATAATTAAACAAAAATATGATAAAATTGAGAATTTCTACTACTTATATGAAGATATCTAGATTAGCTAAAAATAGCTAGCATAACTAATTATTACTGTATTTATTAATATAAGTTACTGTGAAATTGTAAAACAAAATAAATATCAATTTTTTATATAAAGCATGAGCAGATACGAAGTATTCTTATTTCATATGAGATTTTATATTTTTTTTAATAACTTAAATAAGTTCCTTCTTTATATTATCTTCACTATTATAAAGATAACTGAAATCAAAATCAGATATAGTATTTATTACATTATTAATATCTCTTAAAAAGTATATATAATTATTTATAAGATTATCTAGATCTTTTGAAAAATTATTATATCATATAGAAAGTTTATACATTCTTAATGAATTAACTGAATAGAAAATATTACTGATTTGAGAATAAATATATCTAAGATGATCTTTTTTCAGTATTCCATTATATGATAGAATATTATTAAATCATTCAACTCAAATAATAAAACAAAATTCATATAATTTTATGAGTGCTCAAAACTCTTCTGAACACCAGGTATAATTAACAGCAAGAATCTTAAATAGATCATTATTATTAGAAAAATTAAAAAGTATATTTTCCAAAATTTCAAATACTAATAAAATATATATTGCAAGAAAATTGCTAGATGTAGGTATGAAATTACTAGCATTAGTTTTCACATTCATATTTGATTATTATCGATAATATAATATATATCTTGACACTAGCTTTGCTATTATTTATTAATACATAATAAAATTCAGAATAAATAATAATTATTTTTTAGTTATAGTATATATTATTAAATAATATTTGATATAGTTTTCATAGAAACACTTGTAGAAGAAAAAATTCTAGTTAAAGTGTTAATAGATACATTATCAAGGTTTAATATCATTAGCAAAAGTTTGTTCAATAGACTTGGAACAAATCATGAAATAGGACCGACCTGTAATCTGGTTAAAAATCTCTATGAAGATGCAAATTCATTATTTAAATTTACAATTTTGATATAAAGGAACATATCATAACTTAGATGATACTGATGCAATAAACTTCAAGATTCACAAAAATTCACCATTCGATCTGGTATTGGATCAAGATTAATTATATATAAAGTAAAAATGAGCTTTAATTTTCATGCTAAAATAGTAATACAAGATATGAGCATTTTATTAATCAACAAAGATTTTAATAAAATTAACTCTAGTAAAAATGATCCATATAAGTCTGATTTATCAAAGGAGGAGATCACGAATATGATCAAGAAAATTCTCTCAGATTTTGAATCTGAATCTGATTCAGATACTTCAGTAATCAAGGATATGCATAGGATTGAAGCAGTAAGCTCGAAGAGCCATAATTCAAAAAATTGCTCAAAGACTTGTTCTGTAATAAGAAAATGTCCCATTTTAAAGCATAAAGTAAAAGGTAAAATTAATTATCAAGCTTTATAGAGAAGCTACATGTAATATCTTTGATGCATCTGATCTTATATATAGTCACAAAATTAATTATAGTCACGAAATCACATCACGTTATAATGGACCTCAGGGGAGCGATGTCATGTGTTTTAAATCCGCGAATCAGAGATCAGCATAAAAGTTCGTGGGATATGCATAGAAAAATAGTTGGTTTATCGTTATTGATAATGTGTCATTCTATATCTGGGATAATCGTTGCATGATCTATTTCGGGATGTACTACAAGCATATGTGACTATATAAAGGATGCGCAACTTGACACTAGATCATGTGCCGATAAATAACGCGTGATAATCAGACTTTGCTCTCCTTATTATACGGAAATCATTTCTTGAACATGATATTAGATTTATTTTTTATTGTTATCACCAAATATTATGATATGCGAGAAATGTTACATTCCAAACCTATTCCAAGTATGAGAATAAATCAGAACATTGCGATGATGATCCAGGACACGGGGATGATGGATATGATTGCTCGGTATATGCTTCTGCACATACTTTAGCCTTCTTCGGAGTTGATAAACACGGAGATATTCGGTCCTCATTTTTGTCTAGAGGTCGTTTCGAAACCCGGCCCTTTTAAATGATTTGACTGTTTGTTTTTTTGCTTGAACCATCTTTATTATCTCTTGAACCATAGCCTAACATTCATAAATACATCAGCTTATATTAGTACAGATATATAATCGTTAGGTGAAAAGCATGAATTTAACTAACCTTGATGATCAGAACAGATGCAAGAATTGTGAGGATGTAAGGAAAATTTTCTGCATTATCCGGAACTTCCATTAGTTCACCACGTTGCACCCTACAGATGTAGCCTTTTGGGTTGTCCAGGCAGACCGTCATAATCATCAAACCTATAAATTATATTAGCTAACAGCGAGAACCCGATGGATTCTTAAATACACAAGGACATACCAGCGTGAATTATTCCAATCGTTTGAATTTTTGCACGACTTTCTTCATCCCAACCTGCCTTCTCCATCAACTTTACTAACATATCCTTGAGTGTCTTAGGTAGCTTCAATCCCGCCTCCTTGAGAAACTTCGTTCCATTTTTATCCACCCAACTTTTTCCGGCTTCCCCAGCTCCGAACTCATCTCTATCGCCATTACTAATAGATCTTAAGATCCAATCAATCCTGCGACCCATTTTCCGCCGTTCTCCTGACATTCTTTTTATATTTTTTCGTGACGCCGATGCCAAGCTTGTACTTTCCCCTCTAAATTGTTAAAAGAAACCTGTTAGATATATCAAAGCAAACTATATTTTTTTTAGAAAGTTACCTGACGACGGATATCGCATTTACATCTCCAAAAGCTTGATCGAAGACCACTTACCTTGCCAGCGAATTTGTTTAGAAATCCAGTGATTTCTTCTGAGAGCTCGGGTACCTGTGGGCCAGGAGTGCAATCAATTTCATCTAGTTCTGCCTCGCTGAAATGCTGGAAAATTATCCCGTCATCGACATCCAAAATAAAGGAATGAACGGCACTAGGAAATAAAACGGTAATTTAGTACAATTTTGTTTTCCATAATACAGTTACTACCGAAAATCCACTTATATAAACACTGACTGCTCAAATATTAACTTCTTCCCCAATTCGAATAATTCTTCCTCGACATATTTTCCTGTTGAAAGTCTCCACATTCTCTCCTTTTTCATACCATTAAATGTCTGCTCAATCATCTCAGTGAGAGGGAACGGACCCGTCTACGTGGCTATGTGTTAATTTTGTCAAATATCAAGAACTAGGATTTACGAAAAAACTTACCTTATTATTTTCTACATTATCTTTGTTGTAATCGTCATTTTCTACTTTATGATCAGATAAATCGGTGGTTAATTGAAATTTCTTTTGCTTCCTCTCGATGTTGAACTGGTCAACTAGACCGTCCGCTTCATTGGTCCGAGCGGATTCAAGCACCTTTAATGCGTCTAATTCTGTTTTCTTCTTAATAGTGATCTAGGGAGATAACAGGTTAACAGAGTACAATCGAAGGTGAAGGTATAATTAAAAACAATAAAACACACCCGTTCTTTTGTCACTTTTTTATCAAGATTGACGCATTCCCAGAATTCCTTTACCCCACGCGTTTCGTCCTTACAAAAAAAGGTTAATTTTACGACTAGCCCATTTAGAAGATTTACAATTACAATTATGAACAATGTCATACTAGGAACGGCACCCATCACCCCAGGTAGGAACGGCACCCCCCCCAGAGCTGTATGACAGCAGAATGTTGCACTGTAGGAACGGCACCCCATACCTCGGAGTAGGAACGGCACCCCTCCGAGGCTGTACAACTCCTGATTCAGAAAAGAGGGGAGATAAAAGATTACGCACCTTCTGTAACAGTAAAGTCGCAGTTCTACCTCGCTCACTATCTCGTTCCTCAGAGAGAATTCTTAGGAAATTACAGTATCGTTTTCGTAATGCTGAGTTCTCGGCGAATGATATGTATCTATCAGTGGACATCCATGTTGATTTTAATGCTTCTAAAAAACCCAGGTATGACCATTCTGACGGCGGAGTATCAGTGAAATACGAATCGACGGCCTCATCTGAAATTTACCGCCAAAAACAAGGAAATGTCATTTACTTTACCAAGATATTTCTTTGACATAATAGATAGTACAGGCGTAAAGGGTGGAAGAAAACGTAGCGAAAAAAAAACTTTTCACAAAAAAAAATGCGTATGCCACGAGTTAGTCAATCAGCAGGTCATCATGCATAAAAAGTTTCACGACCTTCGATTTTATTCTGTGATATATGTTGATCAAACATCTGTGTTACGCAATCGATTTTTTCAGGTATGTGGTTGGCCGGAACACCAAAATACTGCGTATCAAACTGCTGGATTAGTAGAGTTAGAGAGATAATATATGTCTTGTCACTAGCTTCGCTATTAATAGCTGATTTTATCATCTTGATTAATGAAAATACAAAAGAACCAATACCATGGAATGTTAATATAAAGGATAACTGGTAGATCGGTAAATCGTATATTGTGATTAATTAGTACAAAACCTGGTCACCAGTAAAGAACCAATGCCATAATCACAAAGAATAATCGTCATCGCTTTCATCGTCAGAAGACTCACCATCAAAGTGAATGGTCTCGGATTTATCTTCTTATAATCCCAGAGACTTCATTAGTTCGTAAACTCCATCAAACTCGGCATTGGTATTGACGATGTCTATACTTCTCAACAAAGTGATATTCCTAACGATTACTTATCTTTAAATCAGTGTCCAGATCCGAGAATCTAAAGAGAATGAAATCACTATATGAGTAATCGAATCCAATTTTAACAGTCGAACAAAACTAAAGACGAACAAAAATAATGAAACACAGAATAACATCATAAACTTGAATTTTTATTTTCTTGTCTCGAAGCATGGTGTTAGTAATAAACGTATTTATGATTCGCTTGAAGAATTTTCGTCTTAATTTGTAGGAATATCCTCATGGTACTTCATTGTCAAATTGGCAAGGGATTAGGCAGCAACCCTCTCAAAATTTGGTGATTCATTGGTTCAAAAATTCGACAAGCTAGCTCGTCTCATTGAGACGAATATTTTTACTTATCGAGTTATGGCATTTGAAATTTTGTTCCACGCTTCAAAATTGGAACTTTACCGTATATGGAAAAAAGAGCAAGGCAGTGTTTCCGGTCAATTCAAAGAAATTCGGGTTAAAAACAGACAATATGTAATGAAAATAAAATACAGTGAAACTTGATATAGTGGATAATCGATGTAATAAAAACTCGACATAACGGATTGGAACGGATTATAATGATCCTTTCTCCAAATCTTTTGAAAATTTTCGGATGATTCCGCTATTACTATATCGAGTTACTCTTTTTAAAGTGTATAAATATGCACTAATATAAATACATGTAAAAAAAATAAGGTTAACATGTGCATTGTATTACCTATTTATTTGTTTGCTGAATCAAAGCGGTTGTGGATGCAGGGTGCATAAATATGTATGAGTTGAAATGACGTCAAATAGTATTATAAAATCGATTACATAATAACGATAAGATCTGCAATTTAAAATTTGATTTGTGCAGATCACCCAATAAGAATATGCAACTCAAACCAAAAATTATAAGTTTCAAAACACCACCACCTAAAAAACCTTCGACTAATAAAATTTCGCAAGAAACATTTTTTTGTTAGAATACAAATGATTGTTTCATAAGTAAAATTTCAAGATACAAGCTATTTTTCAAAAGTAAGCGTTTATTTATAATACTTTCTCGTAATTTTCGGTCTTTCTTGATTGTACAAAACTGCCCCTTGATTACAACCACAAACTCTTTTATCATTAAATTGGAAGATGGTTTGTCTGTTATTAGAATTTATCCAAACATTAAAGCGTGTATTTTAATAATGCATTTTAGTCGCAGCATATTCTCTATCGATATATGAGTTTAAGAATGGTTATTCGTTTTATCTCTAGCCATTATAATTGGTTCTTGACGGACGCCAAATTTGCTATCCGAGGTAAAAAAGAGAAGCATTATGTCTTTCCCCTCAAAGCTTCTTTACCGTTAAAAAATATTCTTTCTAGCATAATGTAATGACTTGTACAATAAACAAATCAATAATCGTTTCTCAGTAAAAATAATGCTTTCTGATTGCAACGTTGTTAATTGGGCCGCTTTATGTCTTTATGTAAAGATTTACCGATTTAGATGGAAATCAACGACGATATGATCATAGAACACTGCATACATCCATACGAAAAATTATTAGGGATACTGTAATTATTATGAAGCGTACAGGGATAATTAGCAAATACAGACAAACCTCCCTAAATGCACCATCCTTGGGGCCATAGTAAAGCGTGTATTTAGAGGGGGTGCATTTATAGAGGGCAAAATATATAGAGCTCTTATGAGCTGGGACCAGCCATGCTGTGCATTTAGAGAGGGTGTGCACTTATAGAGGGTGCATTTAGGAAGGTTTGTCTGTAGATGTTTTGGCTATAATAATAACAATTAATACGAAAGCTAATTGAGATGCATCGTTGCAGACTTTTTATAATAAAAGAAAGCTTACATTGACTTGTGATAATTCTTTAAAGAGAAAGAAAATAAATTCCTTCCTGTAACTATTAAAGATATTTTATAATTTCCAAAAAAGTTCACACCCTGTAAAAATTTAAACACAATTTTTTTTTAGTAAAACTGATTATTTTTGCAGAATAGTTTTGAGGTTAAATTTTCTATAAAGGGCGTGAAATTCGGCAATTCATTTATCCGCAAATAAACAACATTTTATGCCATATACAACCATGCGTCTGCACGAGGTGGAGAAAATCAAGAAAGATTGATCCGATCAACAAATTCGTTCGTATATTTTGAGCTAAAAAAAATACTAAATTCACAACCATTGTTCAAAGCATTCTGACTAAATAAGGTGATGATGATCGTCGTAATTCATGTCAAACAAATAAGTAGGTAACATTATGTAAAATTTCACCACATGTTAATCTTATTTATATTTATACACCAAAAATAGCAACAATGCAGGAATATTCCCACGGCTAAACATACAACCTTAAGATGTCTTTTGTGCCAAAAAAACTGGCTTATTGTTTCAAATTGCTAAAATTACATCATCACTTTGATATTACGACTTGCTTTATTTACATTAATGTAATATAACTATTTAAAACAATTACGTCAGGCAACCTTAGTCTAAAATATATATTATTAATATTGGCTTGATTTTTATAAAAAGCATCAGATAGAATAGCTAAAAAACAAAAAATAATACTATACTAAATATCAAAAATGGACTCAAACACGAACCAAGATATTTTTTCCTTCATTGATAATAAACATAATTTTCTACGTTATTCTTATTCAGTCGATGAGA